ACAGAAGCATCAATGAACTCATGCCCATTAGCCACATATGGAAGGTGTATTTGGGTTAGAAAAAGAAACAAAAAACAAAACACTGCAACCAACCTAACAAAGGTGTATTTAAACATAAATAGTCACAGAGGAATCAAGGAAAGAGTTTATGAGAAGTAAACTAGTTTTTGGATCTTCAAGAGTTTATCTGAAAATTTGCTTTTCATTTGAAGAAGATAAGAAGTAGTTACTTGATAAATGAAGCAAATTATACCTTGACCAGATGATAAATGCTGACATCTCCAAAAATCTCAGATAGATGTCAGGGCCTTTAGATGAACACATTCTGATCATGGAACTTATGAGAGTACTCCAGAGGTAACAGGTAATTAATTAAGTGAACCATGAAAATGCATCACAAATTCAAAAAGTACATAAAACAACTGGGTTTTATTCTTCAAAACTCATGGTGCATGGAAGAAAGGTAGTCAACACAAGAAGGCATTCAAATTAAAGAAGACTATAATATGTAACAACTATGTGCAGTGGATGGTATGTATACTTCAGGGAAGCTGAAGATGCTGTGACAAACAGCACTGTCTTGGCCTTATATATCTGTAATGTGAGGTCAAACTCACATGAGCTTCCTCAGACCCATAACTGTCCTAAGATTATCTAGGAAAACATCCATGTGCTGATAAAATACACAAATACTAAGGTTTAAGGAAGGTGCCATCATATATGTATCTACTCTAAAATGGACCAGAAAAAAATAATGATAGAAGGGAGTAAATGAGAGAGAAATTATGATAGAGCAAACTTGAGGAGACAACTACGCATTGAGAATGTAAACTTAGTGTGAGTGTATATTCTGCAATGGCACTGTAGGTTCTCTTTAAATTTTAATAGTTTCAAAATAAATATTTGGAAATCAAAAAATCATTTAAATTTATATGTATTACATAAGGATAGCAAGGATAGAGAATCCTCAATAGGGTCACATAGCAGATTGTGGATGCCCCCCCCCAGCCATTCTTGGTACCTATACTGTTCTTAAATAAAAGCATGATGTATGAGCTGCTGGGTATCTATATTCTCTTCTCTGAAAAGTGGTATGTAGTGATACATTATTTATGATTTAATAAAGCCACTGGAATCAAAATGCAAAGCTACCTACATCCATAGAGTCAGGCAGTGGTGGCACACACTTTTAATCCCAGGACTCAGGAGACAGAGGCAGACAGATCTCCGTGAGTTCAAAGCCACATTGAGCTACACGAAATTGATCCACTCAAAAAGAGAAACAGCTCACACATATGTGATCTCAGCACTTGAGATCACATGCCTTTTATCCTAGTACTATGGAGGTGGAGACAGGAGTGATATGGCTGGGTGGAGAGAGGAATATAAGGTAGGAGGAGACAGGAAATCACAGGTTTGTAGTCTGAGGTTTGGTGGAGAGCAGTGCAGTCTGCATTGCACTCTGAGGATTCGTGGAGACAGGATCACCCATTTTGGTCTGAGGTAGAGGTAAGAGCTAGTGGCTGACCGATTTGCTTCTCTGATCTTCAGCTTGAACCCCAATGTCTGTTTCTGGGTTTATATTAGTCATGTTACAGTAGTAACATGTCCGTCCTCCTATAGCATAAATCTGAGAAACTAAATGACTGAGTTTCCTATTTTAATTAGTTTGCATCCATCAAAGAAAATTCACTGAGAATTAAATTTGAGCCAATTTTACTGGAATTTCTATTTTCATTTCTTAGAAAACATGTTGTCATTCTAGGTACACTAAGCCTTAATTAACCCGACTTTTTATTTTAATTTTCAAAACAAGCATTCATGTTTTCACATTTAAAAACAAATCAGATGAAAAACATCAGTGTTCTCTTAAAACAGGAAACCATATGCCACCACCAGCTCCCCTTTGGGATTCAGCTCATGAAAGAATCATTCCTTCTATAAGAAACTGTATCTTACAAGGTTAAAGGCCTAAGCCTTCAGTTGTCTTGTGTGCATCCAATATAAACTATTTACAATGCAGCCTGCCAGCTAATATGAAAAGCAGAGTAACCTTCCCCTCTTCAAGGTGTTCATGTTAGCATGGATACATACAATGATGCACAGATGATAACTTTAATATGAAATAAAATGACAAGCACTCAAATAGGGAGAAAGGGGAGTTGAAAGAAGGAAAATATGAGTCTCCCCTTAGGTACTTGGAGTTGCTACAATAGGTAGAGGAACTTTGACAGATTTAGAGATTGTGCACTCTGATTTACGTGTGTTAACTGATGTCTGTCACAAAAATTACCCTTATAAAACAGTTGGCATCTGTTCAGCACTTGGTGAAGATTCCACAGACACAGTGTTATTAGATGTTGACATCTTAGAGGTATTAATGACCTAGTTACAGTCATAGAAAATATGGCTTGAAAAACAAACTATGTGGCCAAAGCAACATGATTATGAAGCTTAAGAGGGAAGGGACAATTCTACAACCCTCTATCTTTCCACCACCCTGCTTAGACAGATTAAGCAGCAAAGTCCTGCCTCTAATGGCCATACAAAGGGGACTGTTTCCAACTTCGACACCCTAATAAGCCACCCTCACACTCCTTGGGTGGTGCTCCACAATCACTGAAGCAGCCTTCTCATACAGTTACACCCGTAGATACTCCCTTTTTTCTCTAACAATACTAGAATGCAGGCTCCTTCAATACCATGTTCCAGACAGGTGTTCCACATTCGTCTAGATGTGACAGCAACAATCCAGCTCAGAAAAAAAAAACTGCCAGATGTTCGAACAATAGAAGTTATGGTTATCTATTTTTATTCTGGCAGCTCATTGTGGTTTCATCATTTTTAGATGTAAAATGTATTAAGAGACCCTCTGATGGTGAAGTCCTGTTTGCCATGAAAAACTTTCACTCTATCAAGCATGAATAGCTTTCCTCTTGATTTGTGTCTGAACCATTAGAAAAAACATCACAGATGCAGACTGCATTATACTGCAAACATATGCATGCTTTTAAATCACTTTTATCTTAGTTTTACTAATGTAACCCTGAAACATAAAATATGTTCTTTTTTCCACTCACTGTATGAGAAGAACAGATGGTGAAAGAGCTAGATTAAAGTGGTACAGCATGTCCATTAGAATAGCCCACTGCTTGGGATACTTCCCTCAGCCAGGAGCCATTTACTAGAAGGAATAGCTGTGGCTTACACACATCGGAAATGACCAGAGGCTTTCCCAGGGGTGAGCAACAAAATTAATGGCAGAATCAAACAATTTTTAAAATGAAAATAATACAAGGTACTGATTTGAGAATGACTGAACTCATGTGCCTATGATCACATAACTGAACAACAGAAAAATAATAGTTCTTTTCTAACTTAAATGTACTTGGGACTCTGAAAAATTAACTGCAACTATGAGAAGAAAACTAAGTGCATATCCCTTTCTACATTCCTGATCTCCTTCTAGTTAAAACTTGCTGCCACTGCTTTAGCTATAAATTAGTGTAGTAAGAATTAACAGCAAGAAGAATTCTACAAGGAATAAACACCAAGAAATGCTAAGTGTTGTTGCTATATTTAGTACTGGAAAAGAATCCTCTGAAAAATTATTTAACTTATTGTATGGTTCCAAAGAGTTTCTTAAATATTTTTTGAAAAGTAATAGGAAACCTTCTTCTTCCTCCTCCTCTTCCTCCTACATACTTCCTCTTTTCTTCTCTCCTTTTCTAGTATATGATCTTAGCTATGAAATCTACATCCTTGCTCATGCTAGGCAAGCATTCTACCACTGAGATGTGTATCAACTGTCCAGAGAAAACATTTTAAAGGAAAAGGGATATTAGTCTTGAATTTGGAAGTAAATAAACCCACTCATGCTACAAGCAATTGGGAAGCAAATTCTAAATCAAAATTCAAGTATTAGAAACGAAAGGTTTGGGTTATTTCTTCCTTCATTTTAGAGACTGGTATAACTAGCAATTTCCCAAAATTAATATTTAGGAATGAGATAACAAAACTTTCATTCATTATTTAGTTATTTGATCCCTTTATGGTATAATCTGCAATTTATTATGATTGTTTAAAATGTCAATCCACATTTTAGCTATGTTCATCTCAAAAACTATTCTGGCAGTCTTTCATACCTGTAAATTCTCTAATACAGCTCATGAAATAGAAACAGGGTAAATTTTTATAATATGCCTTAACTACAGTTTGAACTGTCATAGAACTCTTTTTAATTAAAATAGTTTTTTTCATACAACATATTCTGATTACAGTTTCTCCTCACCCAACTCCTCTCAGATTTCCCCCACCTCCCCGCCCACCATTTCATTAGGAAACAAACAGACATCGAGAAAACATACAATAAAAACAAAGAAACCAGAATAGGACAAAACAAACAGAAAAGAAAGTTAAAGAAAAAGTATAAGAAACACACACACTCACACACAGGCTTTCTCTTAATACCCCTCCATAGACAAAAACTGTTTCTGAGATTTCTTTACTCATCTTTCTCACAGAAAATCAACCACAATAGATATCTCACCAGCTGTCAAAGTGATTCACATCTGGAAATTAATTGGCATGTCAGAACAGGGGCTAAGTTTCCTCTCTTAATGTTCTATAAGGCATCTCCCATCAAGTTCCTATGGACAGAGCTGTTTCCTAACATGACACCTGCAATTCCTCCACTTTGTAAATTCAAAGGACAGTTCCTATGGAGCTATATAAGCATTTTCACGGCACAGAGATTTTTAAACAGGTATGAATAAACATGGAATAAACATTTAATTAAACCTTTAAATCATAGGAACTCCAGCTGTCATAGCCAAGGATATACTAATTTGCTCTGGGAATGTGAAGCAGCTCTAGCCCAGTGAGTAAAGCCTGGGTTTCCAGAACCACTAGCATTAATTTAAAAGGTAATTAAGGAGGTAAAGGGCACTGACAACCAGAAGAGCATTGTATACTGACTCTCTCTAATCCTCCACATGTAGGTGGCAGATCCTTGGGTTTAGATGCATACAGGTGGTGCTACCAGCTCCAGCTCCTCACTGCAGCATTATTGGTTTTCTCGGCTTTATTTTGGACGTAGTCAAAGGAAGCGCTGCCTAAGCTATTCTTGCCTGTGTTTTGTGACATGGCATCCACAATCCATCTATGATGATATGTTGGTAAGCATATTAGTAACTTCTATATGCTACAAGATTTATCGTATTTGTGACTTTGTGAAAATGAATTGAAACTTGAAGACCATCTGTTGAGTTAACTCATTCTATTTTTTAAACTCAACAGAAGGACAGGTCTACAGTTCCTTCTAAATATAGAAAAGTAAAAAAAACCTCAAAAAGTATAGATGAGATAGCAAACAATATGCATTGAACCTTTCTACATCCTAGTTGAGCTTCATATATTTAAGGTATATAAGATGATAAGTGCATGTTATAAATTTATTACCATAAGTAAGTTTGTTAACACATCCATCATTTCCCTTTGTTAATTATATCTGGTATGAAATTTCAAAATTTCTTTCAGCAAATTTCAAGTACACACTATAATGTTGTTAACAACAATCATCATATTTAAGATTAGTCTCCCAGACATATCCATCTTAAAACTTAAAGTTTATACTCTTTAACTAACACTCCCCATCCCAACATCTGGTAACCACCATTCTACTCTAATAAATAGTCTAGATACACACAAGTGAAAACATTTTCCATTATCTGCTCTATTTCTGAAGTGGAAAGATTTCCTTCTTTTTACATTACACGATAATGGGTTATATATAAAAAATGTTGGCCATTCATATATCACTAGACACAGGTCAATTCCATTTCTTCACTATTGTAGATAATGCTTCATTACAACCTTAGACAATGATTTACTTTTCCATACATAGATACCAGGCTATGGATTTGCTGGATGATGTGGTGGCTCTAGTTTTAATTTTTTTTTAGGAACTCCTATACTGTCTTCTATAGTAACTTCCTTTATGTTCCTCTGCAGGCAGATAAGGTGTTTGCCTTTCATAATATCTTTAACACATTCTATCACTTCTCCTACAAACTTCATAGTCTCTGGTATTTAAGTAAATTAATCTAAATCAAACTATTTTGTGTTTGGTAGAAGAGAGGTCCAATGCATTGTTTTGATATCGAAATAAAAAACTGGACATCCAAATCCAGTTTTCTAAACATTGTTTACTGAAGACCCTTATATTACTAATTGCTCACTCTTGGCATAGTCTTCAAATATTTGCTGATGGAGTACACATTTATTTAGTTCTAGGCACTGTTTTCTGCTGATATAATGTTTTTAATACTGTAGCTTTGTAATATAGTTTGAAATTGGGAAGCATGATGCCTCCAGCTTTCTATTCTCTCTTAGTGTGATACTTGATCTTGCTCTAGTAATCTCAGGATTTTTATTGTTCAGCACAAATTTTCTCTGTTTATATGTTCTCTTTTACTTTTTTATTCACATGCATTAATTGTACAAAATAATGGGTTTCATTATGATTTTATTATATCCAAGAAAATCTTTTAGTTTTTCACCATGAAGTATGATGTTACCTATGGGTTTATCAAGTCTGTTGTCTTCATTGTACTGTAGTACATTTGATTCATAAACAATTGTATAGGGTTTTTATTAAATCATGCTGTACTTTGTAAAATTATTTCTCTGCTTTCATTTTGATAATCATATAAATTCTAAGCTCCACTGTGGTGTACCACATTCACTGATTTGTCCCACCTAGTCACATATGATTCTTTTAATGTGATCATCACCTTAGTCTGTTAGGAGAGATGAAAAGCCTGCTTCTCCAGAGGCAAACACCCACAGTTAAATACTGAACAGAACCCAAGGAACCCAGCGACAGAGAGAGGAGGAGCAAAGAGCAAATTGGCAAAGAATGGGCTGGCAAAACCAGCAGAGACAGCTGATCCGAACAGGGGAGAGTTCTTGGACCCCAGACCAACAGTTGGGAGGCCAGCATGGGACCAATCCAGACCCCCTGAATGTGAGAGTCAATGAGGAGGCCTGGGATACCTATGGGGTCTTGAGCAGTGGGTCAGTGTTTATCCCTCGAATACTAACAGACATCATGTGTCCATAACACAAAGAGGGTTGCTCTCTCTGCCTGGACTCTTAGGGAAGTGCCTGGACCCTACCCTGAATGAAATGATAGACTCTAGATATCCCCTATGTGGAAGGAATTGGCAATAGGGTAGAAGGATGGGGGTGTTGGTGGGGGGTGCGGGAGGAGGGGAGGGAGAGGGAACTGGGATTGACATGTAAAACAAGCTATTTAAAATTTAAAAAATTTAAAATTAAAAAAAGAAAAGCCTGCTTCTCTGTTCACAACACTGTCTTCTCTTCTTATATTTTTGGTTGTGAGCCTAGCCTTTAACGGCTGAGCCATCTCTCCAGCCCTGTCTTCTCTTCTTAAGGTCCTTTTATGGCTTTAGCATAAGTAAGGATCTGGCCTTAAATCAGTTTGGGAGCATGTCTTCAATTTTCTAGAGAACTTTGAAAAGATTCACCTGTAATTCTTCTGTGAATGTTCAGTAGAGTTTAGTATAGAAGCGATGTGATCACAAACATGACTTTCTGGGGAGGTTTGGGGGGGGTGTTGTTGTTGGGGTTTTATTTTTGTTGTTTTGTGTGTGTACTCTTTATGTGAATGTATGCCACATGTTGAGTTTGGAGTTATAGACAATTATGAGTCACCAGATGTGGGTGCTGGGAACCAAACTCTCGTCCTTTAGAAGAGGAATAAGTGTTTTTAACTGCTGAGCCATTTTTCTAGTCCTTTGAGAAACTTTTTAATGCTGCCTCAATCTCCTTATTTATTATCAACTTCCATAGATTTTCTACTTCTTAAAGACTCAATCTTAATAGGTCTTATCTTCTAAAAGTGCATCCATTTCTTCTAAGTTAGGCATGAATTTTCACATACTCACTTAAAATCCTCTATATTACTATGAATATATGAATATTCAGTTGAAATTTCTCATTTCACATAAATTTTTTGTATTCTTTCCCATATTAGTACAGTTAAAAACTTGTCAGTTCGTGAAAACTATTGCTGAAGACACCAATTACTTATGTAATTGAACATGAAGAAATTGAGCTGGTGCCCAAGACTAGCAGTCATGATGCTGGAAGGTACTCTACAGACTACTACTGAAGAGAAGTAATCACCAGTATCACCAAGTTATGAACCCTGCAAGCTACAATACTGGTAAAATATTACGGGAGTTACCAACAACTTTTTTAAAATTGGCCCACTCCATGAGATAGAAACCATACCTAACACTGCCAACGTAACCAAGAATCTAAGACTTTATATGTCATAGACCCTAAGGGAAAACCTACTGTAATTATTCTGCTAAATAATAAAAAATTACTCTTAATGGTATACTGCTATCTCCATAGACCAGAACATCACTCAGTCCTCATCAGAGAAGTACTCTGCCTGGAGCTACATTCAAGAATTACTTTCTTGCAAAATTGTTGGTACTTTTTTCCTATAATTTAAAATGTCAGATTCCCAGTACAATAAGTCACCAGTGTATAGTTGAGGCCAGACTGCTGGCCATGAAAATTAAAAGGGTTCTGTGAGATTGTTTAAAGGAACAGATGTCAAATAAAACTCGCAAGTGTTGCAGTGTGTCTGTAACAAGTGATTAACTACTAAGCATCCACAATGTAATGCATACATCCTTATTAGGTATGACACATGCAGTGGTTACTACTGATTAGATAAGGGGCAAGAGGACAGCAAGATGACGCAATAAACTCATCTGGCATGCACTGACTGTATTAAGCATATCTATAAACATACCAATGTAAAAAGCTTAAAAAGAAACTGATGTCAGGAGACAATTTACTCATGATTGACATGGGTGAACCATAGCAAAATAACCTTCAACTGGCATCAGAGTGGTCAGGGCTAGTTACAAAAAATGTGGAAAATATAATAGCAATTTGTAACATATAAATTCTGAAAAATTAATTCTGTAAACTCAGTAGCTCCAATTCTTTTAAACTATGGAAACTGCATTGTTATTTTTACATGTATAAAACCAGTAACAATACAATGCTACAGCACAATGATGGGACTGCAGCTATACAGCAGCCCTAAAAGCTATGTGAAGAATGAAAGAAATTAACCATAATATTTCCTATCACAGTTTTTCTAAAAACCATTCAAAACAATTCTATTTTGACCTTTCCCAACTCAAGTAATATACAGAGGTTCAAGGGTGACCAGCCATTTATTAAACAGCCATAATATAATCAACTCTAAAATTATTCCCAAGGGTTTCTAATACCAAAGAAGAACCTGAGGGTTCATCTGCTCCTTCACCCAAACTAAGGGCTGGGAATGAATTATAATTTGAGCTTATCTTTGATGTTCATAGAAGAATACATAAATAATTCAAAAAAGCAAGGTTTCTGCTTGCCATTCATTAGATATCTGCTAGAAAGTTTTAATATGTCTAATATATGTTAATAAAGGGGCAACAAATAGTAATAGAATTATTATATCATCATAACCTAATAGGCACAAGCTATTACTTTGTAGGTTCCATTTTGCTCTGCAATCTGCCTTCTGAAACATCAAATAAGAACTTGCAGATAGAATTAACAAAGAGAAAAGAATACTTTGAAAATGAGCATGTGGTGTTTTTATTTGTAAGTTCTTTACAATAAAGTTTTAATGAAAAGCAAAAATAAAAATTACACTAAAGTGGGCAGAAGTATCTAAAATGTAATTCAAGTCATAGTCTCATTATCATTATTGACCTATTAATACACATGGAGGAATTCAATATTTTGACTTGAAAAACTGAAAACAAGCTGTATAAATGTAACCTGAAAAGAGTGATATAAAATATGACCAAAATATATCTACAACAAGAAGGGGTACATTAGACTAGGATAAAGAAATTTAAACATTCTTTCTTTATTTTGCTGTATATTTCAGTAAATAACTTTAGCAGGTCTTTATAAACTCACATCAGAACTATGGGAATTATTTCCCTGAATAATTTCCCTTACTTTACCTTATTAATACCTACCCCCAAAAACTTTACTTATTCTCCACAAAATGCTTAAGCTCCTTGAATTAGTATCTATGGGCAGCAATCTGTTTTCCAAACATCACTCACTCATTCAGAAATACCAACTTTCCCAACTCCATTTCTAGGCCCAGTCACACTAATGACATGTTCTTGCATTTCTCAGTCTTGGTCTTCCTGATTTTTTATCCTGCTTTTTTATTTCCATGTGCCTGATTCTACCCCCATAGTTAGATCACCCTCACCTTTTAAACAATATTCACAAAGTCTCTATACATATCATCTCTCATTGCATTTCTTTCTCTATAGTATACCTTACTACTTTACCAAAAATTTTAAGAATATTTCTTGTACCACTTGTTTATATTTTACCCAGTCCATATCCCCAGATCTAATAATGATCACTGTAGCATCTTTCTGAAACAGATCCTCAGCTCACACATGCTGAGTTGAAAACTTATAAGAAAAATGTTGGGGGTTGAAGAGATTACTAATCAATTAAGAGACCTGACTGCTCTTCGGGAAGACCAGGGTTCAATTCTCAGCACCACATAATGGCTAAAAACTCTCTGTAACTCCAGTTCCAGAGGATCTGATGCCCTCTTCTCCTATCCATGAGCAATGAACACACATGGAGCACAAGCATACTACAGGCAAAACCCCAGTACACATAAAATAAAAATTAATAAATCTCAAAAACTTATAAGAACTATGCTGCATAAAATTTGAAGAGTAGCTATTCTTAAAGAATAGTTTGAACTAGATATTTTTGAAAAGCCAATTTTTCTATAAAATTTCTGAGGATTTAAATATATCTAAGATGGACAGTTTCAAAGTTGTTTTCTTCCAGCAGAAACGATGAGGAGTTTGCCTTGGTTGTCAGACTTTTCCAAGGATACTCTCATACCAGAACAATTAATTGCAAATGCCTGTTCACTTCCAGTCTGTACTAGTGATTTCTTGAAAGCAGAAAAACTATGTTTCAATCCTGGCATGTGTGTGATAGTACTCATATAGTAGGAACTTAGATAATGATTTATATGTCACCACAGTTATCTAAAATAAACAAAATTAAACAATAACATAAATGTTAGTTAAACCTAACTTATAGTCAACTATGAGGCTTAAAAGGAGGTACACAGCCAAATTTTTAAGGACAAGAGCTCCAAGTATTAACACAAAAATAAATAACACAAGAGAAATCCTATGTAAACAATAGGTGTGTGGTTTTTACTTTGTTTATGCCTGTGATTTCAAACATTACAAAACATAATAGAATAGCATACAATTATAAGGAAACAATAAAGAAGAATTTCTACTTTTATTTTTTAAATTACACAATATCTTTACATTTCAAATTAATTACTCATCAACTAAAAACACACAAGAAGTCATTTAATGGGGGAGCATCTACTGTTAAAGTGACTGATAGAAGCTCTAGGCATTAATATGGAAGCAGGAAGCAGGAAAGAAAACAGACCATGCAATGAGGTTTAAGAGGGAAGCGCGCACACGCGCGTGCGTGTGCGCGTGTGTGTGTGTGTACATATATGTATGCATTTGTACCCATGTGTATGTGCATGTATGTGTCTGCACATGTGGATACATGTATTTGTACCCACACATGTGTGCATGCATGCATATTTGTACCCACATGTGTTTGTTAATTGCTATATAACAAAGAAAAAACTCATTCTTAATTTAGTATTTCCTAATTTAAATCCTTTTTTCATCTGTGTGTTTTCAACATTCCTTTATCTTTGAGGAAAGGACTACCCAGAGGCATAATCCATTCCTAAAAGGAAGCAATAAAACTCACTTTCCAAAGCACCAGATGGTAATATAAAAACCTCCCCACAGACTCATTAGAGAAAGCAGCAGCTCCCATTTGCAGGGTCTTTGGTCATCCTACTTTATGGCTCACAAGTAAAGTACTCAGCTATCCTGAAAGTTGTGTACTGAAAGCATGGAGGCCTCACCCACCCCCTTTTGTCAGAGTAAAGAAACTCCATCTTCTGTGAAAGATTTTGAACCATGTGACCTAAGCTTCTTGGTGGCATCTTCATTATCTGGATATGAAAATAACCTAGCCAATAGTAGCTTTTTAATGACAACTGAGTCAATGAAAAACATTTCTCCAAATAATTCACACTTATACATGTTGGCAAAATAACAGCTCTGAAAAGAACAAAAATAATCATTCTGTATCCCCTAGACTGGCATTTTAATAATAGTAATAATAATAATAAATAGTAAGTATAGTGCCTCAGAAAGCCCTTTGGTTTTCTACTAGTCCAAGAGTAGTCTGCTGAGTAACCACAGTCTGGCAGTTTATTTCCTGAAGAGGTTGGAGTCAAAGTGGACAGAGGACACAGGAAGTGGGGAATCCTCAATCCTGTGCTACCTCCTCCAGGAAGGAAGCTGAAAACACATCTTGCCAAAATCTAGTTTCTATTTATCACACACAGGTCACAAAAAGCTTCTTTTCCCTCCAAAACCCATTTCTCCTGAACGTACACTTCAGTATTTCTGAATACCTCATCTGGATGTCATCATCTCACTCACTGCCTTGTTAAGAAGAGAGACTTGTTTCCTCCCTGTTGTCTGAAAGTTTCTTTCTGAACCATTTCCCCCTCATGCGATCTGTGGGCAAATCTCATGCTGAAGCCATTCTTCATTCCTAGCTTCAATCTCTAATCTTTCTCTTTTAAAGTTCCCATCTTGGCCAGGCATTGGTGGCGCATGCCTTTAATCCTAGCACTCGGGAGGCAGAGGCAGGCGGATCTCTGTGAGTTTGAGGCCAGCCTGATCTACAGAGCGAGTTCTAGGACAGCCTCCAAAACAAAACAGAGAAACCCTGTCTCGAAAAAAAACATTCCCATCTTAATTTAACTTTTCTGTTGAGCCCTTATTTCCCATGTTTTATTATGCTAGCTAAATCTTCCAGGCTAATCATTGTTGAGAGTTACAGCAGGAAGTATGATCAATACAAATATCAAAGAAATTGTGATGATTTAAACTAAACTCCCATGAACACAGCAGACACAAAATCAATTCACAATTCCTCATATCAGTTTTCATCTATCAACAACGCATAATTAATTAGATGATATAATTCATCAACTTCAAGATCAAACCATTTCAAAAAACGAAAAGTTGTAAAGCATCCATGTACTTACCTGAGGATATGGGGAGGTTCTGGATTTTGACTTGGTGCTGGAGAGCCGAGACTTGGCCCCTTTCCTGTTGTCAGTGATGGTGGGTGTGGAGCTGCTGGCATAAGAGAAGGTAGGCTTAGAGGCTGAAATCTGGTCCAGGGAGAGCTGCAGTCCTTTGTATTCTGTGTCTCTGCAAGGGTGAGGAAAAAACCTTTAGTCAGCCACAACAAGGAATAGATTTATGCAACTCATTAGAAGCTGCAGTACTCCATACATGAAAAACAAAGCAAAAGTTAGTTGTCTAGCTGCTTTCACCAAACAGCTGGGTTATCTCCAAAATGGTTCACATTCAACAAATGTATG